TTTATGGAGAAATAGTTATTTTTAATGACTCAGAAAAGTTGAAGATGCCATTATTTAAGACTTTTAATATTATCACCAGATGGGAAGCAATTACAACTGTTGAAAGGGAAAAAAATTAGCACAAAGGTGAGACATTTTATAACATTATTGAAGATTAAATGTAACCATTTCAGTGGTTTTTAGTATCTCTTCACATCTGTCAGTGAATTTGAATCCATGGATCTTACAGGTTATATTTAATTAATAAAAACCTTTCTTTGTTATTGAATTTAACTGAGCATATAAAACACCACTTTAAAGGTATATGAATAATTTTTTCTAGTGTGCTTGATGCTCTAAAAACATGTACATGTATTAGAGTATGAAAGTCTTTTGCATTGTAGAGAAATGCTCAATTACAAAGTCTACTTTAATTTCAGTTATAATGATCACAGTGTCCAAAATCATTTATTTAGAATAATGATATTTAATGGCTGAGATTAAATCTTTCTAGGTCTCTTGTTTGATGACAAGCTTTGAGATGTCTCCTTATCGTATTGTTATTTTAAACGGCTCTATGGAAGATTTCTAAGCTGTCATCAAGAAACAAAGAATGATTTATTTATTTATTTATTTATTAGTAAAATTTATATGCCGCCCAATCCCTAGGGACTCAGGGCGGTGTACAAAATTAAAACAACAAGTATAACAATTAAAAATGAATACATTCACACAGCATGTCCCAATCGAATCCCCCCCCCCGGGGACATCAACCCCAGGCCTGCTGGAACAGGAGAGTTTTAATAGCTTTCTTGAAGGCCGGCAAGGTGGGAATAGTTCGAATATCGGGGGGAAGTTGATTCCACCACGTTGGAGCCACCACAGAAAAGGCCCTTCCCCAAGGGCCTGCCAGCCGACATTGTCTGGCCGACAGGACCTGAAGGAGGCCCAATCTGTGGGACCTCACCGGTTTCTGGGAACTATGCGGCAGTATGCGGTCCTGTAAGTAACCTGGTCCTAAGCCACGAATGGCTTTAAAGGTGACAACCAACACCTTGAATTGCATCCGGAGACCCACAGGAAGCCAGTGCAGCTCGCGGAGGATAGGTGACACGTGGGTGTAGCTTGGTGCACCCACAATCGCTCTCGTGGCTGCATTCTGAACCAACTGCAGCCTCCGAACGCTCTTCAAGGGTAGCCCCATGTAGAGTGCATTACAGTAGTCCAGTCTTGAGGTGACAAGGGCATGAGTAACCTTGAGTAGAGCCTCCTGGTCCAAATAAGGCCGCAACTGGTGCACCAGGCAAACCTGGGCAAAGGTCCCCCTGGCCACAGCCGTTAGATGTTGTTCCAAATTTAGCTGTGAGTCCAGGAGGACACCCAAGTTGCGTGCCTGCACTGAGGGAGGTAAATTCCCCCCCCCCAGGACTAATGATGGACCATCAGAATGACCCTTGGGGGGCAAGACCCAGAGCCACTTGGTCTTGTCAGGGTTGAGTCTAAGCCTGTTCACCCCCTCCAGACCCTCACATCTTCCAGGCACCGGCACATCACGTCGACTGCTTAACTGAAAGGACACGGGGTGGAGATATATAATTGGGTATCATCCGCATACTGATGATACCTCACCCCGTGTCGATGATCTCACCCAGCGGTTTCATGTAGATGTTAAAAAGGAGGGGGGACAGGACCGAGCCCTGAGGCACCCCATAATCGAGGCGCCTAGGGGTCGATCTCTGTCTGCCCGCCAACACCGACTGCAACCTGTCAGAGAGGTAGGAGGAGAACCACCGCAATACGGTGCCGCCCACCCCCACCTCTCCGAGACGACGCAGAAGGATACCATGCTCGATGGTATCAAAAGCTGCTGAGAGGTCAAGAAGCACCAAGATAGAGGAATGACCCCTATCCTGGGCTTGGCAGAGGTCATCGGTCAGTGCGACCAAAGCAGTCTCAGTGCTGTAGCCGGGCCTGAAACCAGATTGAAAAGGGTCCAGATAATTCGTTTCATCCAAAGATCGCAAGAATAGGGATGCCACCACCTTCTCTACAACCTTTCCCACAAAGGGGAGGTTGGAGACAGGATGAAAGTTCTTCAAAACAGCTGGGTCCAGGGAAGGCTTCTTGAGGAGGGGCCTCACCACCGCTTCCTTCAAAGGTTGCGGGAAAGACCCCTCCATCAAAGAGGCATTGATTATCGCCTGGAGCCAGCCTTGTGTCACCTCCCTACTGGCAGAAACCAGCCAGGAGGAGCACGGGTCCAATAAACAGGTGGCGGCATTCATCGCCCTCACGGCCTTCTCCATTTCATCAGGGTCACAGGCTCAAACTCGCTCCAGATGACATGACTAAGACCAGCCCCCGGCATCTCAGCTGGCACTGCCCAGTCGGAGACCAGGTCCCTCTGAATCTGAGCGATTTTGTCCGAAAGAAACTGAACAAACTCCTCAGCTCTCCCCTGCAAGGGTTCCTCCGCCTCCTCCACTTTAAGAAGGGAGCGGGTCACCCTAAATAAGGCGGCCGGGCGAGATTCTGCGGACGCAATAAGTGCGGAAAAGTGAACACGCTTTGCCGCCCTTATCGCCACTAAATAAGTCCTAAGATAGGCTCTTAATAGTGATCGGTCAGATTCAGAGTTACTGGCCCTCCAACGTCGCTCTAGACGTTTCTTGTGGCGCTTCATCTCCCGGAGCTCCTCAGTAAACCAAGGCGCCCTCCGGGGACCACTACCACAGAGAGGTCGCAAAGGTGCAATTCGATCCAGGGCCCCGGACGCCGCCTCATTCCAGGCCGCAACCAGGGACCCGGACGAGTTATGGACAAGGGAGTCAGGTATTTCCCCAAGCTCCTCCTGGAACCGATCTGGGTCCATTAGGCGCCTGGGGCGGAACCACCTAATCGGCTCCACCTCCCTGCGGTGGGGGAGTGATGCTCTGAAGTCCAGCCTCAATAGGAAATGATCTGTCCATGGCAAGGGAGAGATCTCTATTCCCCTTAGTTCCAGATCATGTCTCCACTGCCCCGAGAGAAACACAAGGTTGAGCGTATGACAACCCCTATGAGTCGGATCCTGGATTACCTGGGTCAGGTCCGTGGTTGCCATGGAAGCCATGAACTCTTGCGCCACCTCTGAGCGTTCGCCGAGTGATGGCAGGTTAAAGTCCCCCAGTACCATAAGTCTGGGGAACTCCACTGCCAACCCGGCTACTGACTCCAGCAGCGCAGGCAGGGCTGTCGCAATGCAGCTGGGAGGTAGGTACGTCAGCAACAAGTCCAACTGAACCCGTGAACCCAACTTCAATAGGAGGGGCTCACACCCAACAATCTCCGGGGTAAATACTTATCAGTTTTGTATGTGGACTGTGGCATTTTTCCATTGGATATTATGACTTTTCTTTTTGGAAACTTCCATATAAGATGGTAGGTTTGTTACTATTACTATTATGATATTATTATTACTATTATTATATTTAATATAGCTGCTATATAGAGTTTCCTAGAGCTTTAGGAATTACATTCATATCTGGGTCAGGTGAACCCAAGAAAGTATTCCAACATATCTTGTTGATTCCATACACCTTGTACAGACATACAGTGTTACTCAACATGCAGATGGTTTTTTGGTATATATTCAAGAATACTTTTTGAAGTGGAAAATACTTCTGTTTTATTCCCAGTCTGTAGTGATCCAGCTAATTTTTGTAAATAAATCATCTAGTACAGGGCTTTTCAACCTTTTCACCCATTGTACCACTTTTAGGATATGGCAACATCCGAGTACCACCAGTCGCCTAGCAAGGTGACAAAAACTTGATGACCAAAAAAAGGAAAAAAGTGATAAATACAGGTAGTCCTCGACTTATAGCAGTTCCCTTAGTGACTGTTCAAAGTTACAATGGCACTGAAAAAAGTGCCCCCAAGCCACAGCCGAGCAAGACACCTGCCTGCCCACCTGGTGCTCTTCCTCCTGTCTGAGGTTTTCATTGTGAGCATTTCTGTTGAGGATTGGCAGCGGGGGTGGGGGGGTTGGTTTTTATTCCCCCCATTTGTTGGGTGGTTGCAGCAGCACTTCACATGACCCTGGGACACTGTGACCGTCATAAATATGAATCAATTGCCAAGCATCTGAATGTAAATCACAAGACCCTGGAGATGCTGCAACATTCCAACTGATTGATGCTTCTTCAGGGCTCAGCAGAAGCACCAGGATCAGCGCCGAGCTCCAACCGGAGCCTGGCGCTGATCCTGGTGCTTCCACTGAGCCCTGACAGCCCTGCAGCTCCAGCCATCTCTTGCTCAGGCTTGTGCAGTGCTGCCACCGGTTCAGCTCATTCCCCCCCCCTGCTACCACTTTTCTAGGATGGTCAGGTGCCAATGTACCACAGGTGGTACCCGTACCACTGGTTGAAAAGCCATGATTTAGTATAGGTAGAACTTTGTATATTGGAACATGGTCCAGCTACAAATTGCCCTTTTTTGGAATGGGATTTTTATTTTTACATTCTTAGAGGATAGCCAAGTTATAAGAATTTGTTGGCAGGTATCATTTTAAGTTGGATGTATATATAATGTTAAATTATTTTTGTTTGCCATTTCCTGGTAGCACAATAGATGCATTCTAGAGATACATTCCAGGTATGTCAATGTATGTGAGTGCAAAGTATTTTGTTCATTGCAAATAATAAAGAATAAACACTATTTATTTTTTTGGCCTTTAATTAGTGGGACCTAAGAGACACATATTAGGCTTTTGGTTGCTTATAAATAATTGTAATGAATTTAATTGCTTGTGTTTTTGACCTTGCTGTACCTTGCCAAGAATCTTTTTGGTTTGGGACAGGCTATAAATATTGTAAATGAACAAATAATAATGCTATGAATAGGCATAATTGCAGGAAACTGAATAATTGCTATGATGCTTTTCATGTATTCAAAGAAATTTGTTTTCTTTATACGTAAAATCTAAGTTTATATGTGCCTGTCTGTAAGCATAGTCCTTAATATGTTGTGCTGGCTTTTAGGTGTTAACAGCTGACTTGGAAAAGAGGGACAACCAGCAGCAAAGGATGATGAGCCAACTGAAAGAGATACAGAACAACTATAAAATCTGTGAAAATGAGTGCAGAGCTGCTGAATTACAGGTTACAGAGCTAGGTCAGCAATTAGAAGAATCGATCAAGGAGGCAGAGAAATACCTAGCTGAATTCAAACAATCTGAAGTACTAAGGCTAGAGACTGAGAAGAAAAAGGAAGAATTAAAACTCAAAGCTCAGGAATCAATTCGATACTGGAAGCTAAGGTGTAAAAAACTGGAACATGAAAAAGAAAAACAAACTGAACTTCATAGCCAGTTGATGGAGAAAAACAATTTGGTATGGTATATATATATATATTTTCATTTCCTTCAAACAATAATTTTGCATCATGTAAAATATTTGTAGTTCTTCCAATACAATTTAAAAACCATGTTTCCTAAACCTGGATAAATTACCAAAATTGAGTAAAACTGTTTTTTCTTTAGGTAATGTCACACAAACCCATTACCCAATCAAACAGTGGCACTTAAATAAGAACTCTTGGATAAGCTGTAAAAACGATTTTCTGATAAGCGGCTTTGGGTAATGAAGGAAAAAGTTTGGAAAGGACTGGTTTAAAACTATTGAAATTAATTTGTGTGACAGTTATGAACTGTTGCTAAAACACATTACACTAGTAGAGAGGAGGAGTGATGAGATAGGACTTTCAGTAGAAAACACTGAAATAAAAAGTATAATTTAATCAAAACACAAGGTAATTCTTTAACATTTAAAACTGATCACAGATGGAAATTGGGTGAAGTCCAAATCTTAGATTATACTTACTTAAAATCATTAAAATCAATTAGTCACGACTAATTTATCTTGAGTTAATATCAGTGGGCTTCTGTTCATTAGACTCACGTTTTTCTCCCTAATGCTTTACTAGATCAGTCTTTGATTAGCACAGCTATTCTCACATTTCTCCTATAAGAAATGTTATAAATTAGAAAGGTAATGGTATAGAATTGATTCCCCCCTGTCTTGCTTCATCAAATTTGGAATCTCTTTAAAACCTTTACTGAAGAATTTTTAAAAAATAATTTCTAGGATTGAAGGCTTAAAACATGATGATTGTCAAGTATAATTTTTAGAAATCTGTCTGGTTTTGATCATCCAATAAAATAAAACACATTCTGAGCACTTTGTTTTAGGGATAACTATATTCTGTCCGTGATACTGTCTTCATTCTCCTGCTGTTTAACGCGGCAAAGATACAAGGCATCTTTTCCTGTTAGGTTGTCCTTTATCTCTGTTGGGAATACAACTTTGAGACTTTTCAGTCAACATTAATGGCTGAGATTTCATTTATTTAAAGAACTTATGTGGCTGCCTTTCTTACACAGTGATCCTAGGCAGATAATAGCAACCAATAAAAACTACAACATAAAAACACATTTACCCTTCTCACCAAGGCATCAGAACTATACATACTGTTGATTCCTTGACACAGCACCTTTCCTACACAAATTCTTAGGGGAAGAGCCAGGTCTTCATGGTCTTTTGGAAGGCTAAAAGTGTAGTCCCCCCCTCTCCCTCAAAATCTCAGTTGGAAACTATTTTAAAGGGCCTGGGTTTCAAGAATTGTAGGGAGAATACATCTGTGAAGGCAGTATATTGATGAAGGTACAGAGTATGTTATACCTTTGGAATTTGGAGTGGCACATAAGCTCTACTTAATAAATAAATAAAGGATGCAAAAGAAATGTAAACAATTTGTTTTTCTCTACTCTGTAGCTGGTTAAAGATAGGGATTGTACATGTCTACTTGGATTTCTTTTAAATCTTTTCCAGCAGGTTTCTTCCTGAGCTTTATAAAGCTAAGTCTCTTGTTTCCAATAATAAAAACCAGACACCCCCAAGAAGCACACAATCCTCTTTATGGATTTGCTTTGGGAGGTGCAAAATATGTTTTGTCAGATTGGGAATCAGACTGTCCTGATGGCCAGAATGACTCTGAATTGGTAGATAAAAGTTTATTTGCAGGTTTGACTAGTTGATAGTCTCAATGGATTTTCATTTGCATTCTTTCTAGAAATAGCAATTCAGTTAGGAAAATAGGTCACCGTTGATTCTAAAAGGATACTCCAGTGAGAAGTTTGGGAAGTCTTTGTCTTGTTTGGGAAGTCTTTGTCTTGTTTCATTCTGTATTTGCCCAGAAGGAAGGAACTAACAGTTATGAGTTTAGAGCTCAGTGATGCAGTATAATTTTCAATTTTGGTAATCAGTTGAAAAATTAACATTTGAAATACCAATTGATATTGAAGTTAAATGTTCCTGAATAATATCTAGAAACAGAAAAAAAAATCCTTTAAATACTTAAAGATGAAGTATATTTGATGTGATAATAAATACGGGAGAAAAATGACTTGTGTGAAAATAATAAATTAGTCCTTCTAACCTAGAGGTAAAAATATGTAAAGAGGACAGTTTTGGCAGATTGCCATCAGCAACCTGAAAGCAATAATTAAGCTTATGATGTCAGTTTCAAAATAATCAACCAACATAGGAAGCACAGATTTAATTCTCAAAAGCTTTTTTTAGGTCCTCAGAAGGATTCAATATGATATACGCCGCATTGACAAGTTGATGGATTTTCTTCCTTGGTTTATAATTAATTATTCATTTGCTTTACATTCTGTCAACGCAAATTATACTTAGCAGAATTTAAAAGTTTGCCATCTAAGATAAAAAAGCAGATCAACCCTTTAATTTACAATAGGTCAGGAATTCTTAAAATCTTTGAAAGGGCAGAATAAAAAGAAATATCGTTAAGACGTTTTGGAGGAGGAAGAGAATGCTAATAGAAAGGTTCTAAGGATCCAAGATTTTGCTGCATGGCCCAATAGTAGGCAACTGCTTAGCAAGAAAAGAGGATAATTTGAATTTAAATAGCAATGTTTAATGCAGATTGTTTGGAGTAGTTTGACAACTTAGGATAGGAGATAACATCATTTAAATATTGTTACTTTTTAATATATATCAATTTACACGTATATTTTGTCTTTTGTCTTTGATGATTTTTATATTATTACTTAATATAGTGGGGAGGGCTCAGTAATTCCATTCTCTTTAAGATCAATGCTGGTGGTAGAATTATATTTTTTGGTAAAGATAAAAGAGAATGGATAAATCAAGAATAACCCAGAAAGGGGATAAAAGTAGTTAGGGATGGGCAGGTGTGAAAAATGTCAAACCATTCAAATCTGAAACGGCTTTGATTGGGTGGATAATGCCAGAATCTGGAACATATTAAGACTCATGAACATGCCGGAGCATCTAACTACTCTTTTGAATAGCCTGTACAATGAGCAAGAAAGTATTATAAGAATTAACTTTGAAGTGACTGGTTCAGGAAAAAGAAGAGAGACATGAATGGATCTGCATAACTCATACTATTAAATCTATTATATAATTAAGTTAAATATTGGAAGAATAGGCTATTGGAAGAAAATAATAGCAGGTATCTAATCACGTGGAATAATGCAGATAATGCCAACTTGTCAAATGAAAATGAATAGTTAATTAGGAAGAGAAAGTTAGGAACTTATGAGAACCCCCAAGCTGATTTTATGCTTTGATTTTTAAAAAAATTATAAACAGCCTAGAGTCACTAAAGTGAGATGGATGGTATGTGATAGATAAATAAATAACAGAAAGTAAAAAAAGTCTGGATTCATGTTGAATATTAAAATGACAAAGTTAAACTCAAACAACATACTTGGTGAACTCACAATTCACATTGAAGAAGCGAAGACTATAAATAGTTTATAGTTTACAGTTTATAAGTTTTTTTCATATTGAAGGGATTTTATTGTGCTTATGATTTTAGTATGTTTAAGTTTGACATTAGCATTTATTTTATATATAGTAACCATTTTATATTGATACTTATAGTGTTATCATGTAATTGTTTTGTTATTTTGTAATCATTATTTTGTAGTTAATTGCTTGATCAGATGCTCTCTCTCTTTTCATATATATATGAAAAGTAAGGGCTTTGTGCTTTAGGTACAGGTGATTGCTTATTTGAAAAGAGCACAGTAGGGGAGGGGGAAAAGGAGTTATGGATGGAGCCTGGGTTGCTGTGTATGAGTCATCATCTAAGAATTGGTTTTTTGTGCCATCTTATGCCTGGTACCGAGACCTAATCTTTTTGTTCTGGAAAGGTATAAAAGGTGAAAGACATCTTTTCTGGTTGTTGCCTTCATCTCTCTACCAGCCATGAAGAGGAATAAGGCGGCCCCTCTCTATTTTGATCAAAATAAAGTTGTAATCTTTGTTGAAACCTCGGCTCAGGACTTTTTTTGGCTCTTTTAAATTCCTGAGTAATGCTGGGGCAATTGTGAGGCTAAGTGGAAAACCTTACAATATCAAGCATAAAGATAGATAGTTTGTTGGGAAAGTAAATTAATTCTAGGGAGGAAGGTAGTGATAAACAATATCTGGAAGTAGAGGCTATTTCTATCACAACAAAGATCAGCATAGTTAAATCAATCATTTTCTCCAGTAAAGTTGTAAAAGCTGGATATTGAGTAAGAACAAAGGAAAAAAGATAGATGTCATTGGATTATGGATTTGGAGACAGCTTGCTCAGAAAACTATGGACTGCAAGAAGAACTAATCAGTCCATCATGGAAAAAAATAAAAGCAACCTATTGTTTAGAGTTAAGGAGCAGCGAGCATAAATTCATATATTTGAACTAGAGAGAAACTTGAAAATCTTTCTGTGCTTGGCAGAGTTGAGGCAAGTTAAAAAAGGGGGAAGGCAATGAAAGGATTCAGAATCAGGGATATTACTTGAATGAACAATTGCGAATTATTGCTAGGGAGACATTGAAGTTGAAAGGTTTTCATCTGTACAGTTACCAGGATTTGAGTTTAACTCACTGGCCTGTATGTTTGGTTAGTTTTAACAGCAAACCAAATGATTGTAAGCAGTGATGGAATTCAAATACCTGAACAACCGGTTCTCTTATCTGATGCAGGCCTGGGCCTCCGAGGCCTAGAATGGACTTCCGAAAGTGGCATCCATGCACTTCTGGTGGGCCATTCTAGGCCTGGGAGGCCTACTCCAAGCCTCCAGGGCCTAGACTGTACTTCTGGAAGCCAACCGGTTCTCTGAATGCCGCAAAATTAGCTACTGGTTCTACTAAAACGGTGTGAACCGGCTGAATCCCACAACTTATTATAAAGGGAGATATATATTTACTTTTAAAAAAGAAATATTGGGAAGAATCTAGTTAACCCTTCTATTAACAGAACAGAATGGGGTGGGGGGGGAGTTGGCTTTCCTATCAGCTTATAACCTTCTGTATACCTTCAAACTCTATTCTGAATCAAATACATATATAGGCAATTCAGAATTTGGGAAATGCTGGTTTTGTATATATGTATGTATGCAAATATGAAAATATTGCTTGACTACTTAATAAGGTGACCAATTATTTTACAATGAAAAGGAGGACACAAATAAATTGAAGAAAAAAATATTGTAAATAAAAGAAACATTTTATTCATTGCAACAATAATACAGACAACTTGCATGTGCAAAGTTTGCCAGCCGGGTGTTTTGGCGCGCTCAGCAGCAATTCCTATTGGCTTTCTAAAGCCAATAGCGGGAGTAGCACAGCTCATGCAAAAGTTGAAAAAAAAAACCATTAAAAAAAGGTGCCGGAATGCCGTTCTGAGCATTCTATGAGAAAAAAAAGCCCTGCAGATTAGTCTTCAAATATCGAAAAGGAGGACGTGTAGGAGGACACTTTTTGAGGGAGGATAAAACTTACAAAAGGAGGACTGTCCTCCCTAAAGGAGGACGGTTGGTCACCTTATATTTAATAATGAAAAGCAGGTAGCAATCCTATGAAGTTTGTTTATAGGTTTAGTTGGAGGAGTGATATATCAGTTTACTCCAGATCATATCATATAAAGAGAAGTATATAATTACCAATCACCCAATCAGATTGTTAGTGCAATTAGGAAAGTTTATGCAGTAATGCATTGACACTCTTCTTTTTGATTAGTTGCCTTTCATTTTGAATAGTGGTATTTTGTGCCTTTTCTTCCTATAACAGATTCTTAGACCACTCACCTCTGCCTTATTTCATTTGAACTGTAGGTTCTTAAAGAAAAGGATGAATTGAAGAGCCAGCTCCTTTCAACTATGCACCAGATGGAAAATTTTCAAAAGGAACTGACAGATGTTCTTGAGAAAAGGGCCATACAAGAAGAGGAGTTGCACTGTAAAGAAATGAAACTCAGTGAAGCTAGATCCTTGCAGATGGCTCTTGAACAAGAAACCAGAGATGTCAGGAAAACTGTGGATAACCTTGAGAAGAAACTGCAAAAGGAGAGCCTAATACAGACTCAGATAAGAACTGAAAAACAGCATTTAGAGGAAGAACTTGCAAATATCAATATGATCCATGAAAAGGATCAAGCAAAATTGTCAGAGATGCAAGAAGTTATAAAAAACTTGAGTGCTGTTCGGGCTGACTTAGCCAATCAAATAGCAGAAGAGAAGAAATCCAAAAAAGAAATGGCGAAATCAGTGATGGAACTTCAGAAACAAACAGAGTCTGTTCAGGAGGAGATGACTACAATCAATAAGCAACTGAAACTGGAAAGAGATGTCCACAAACAGGAGCTGGGAGAACTTCAGTCAGAATTGCAGAAGATGAAAACCAAACATGATCAACGTGTCCAAGAGATGATGAAGCTATTTAACCAAGAAAAAGAGGAGGCAACTAATCATATTGGAATGTTGAAGGTATCTCTGAGATGATCAACATATAGTCATTATTATTGTATAGTGTGGTATAGATGGGATTTAATGAAATCAGATTTTAGTGAATTGCTATCTAAGTAGTGTGATACTTTGCGTAATATTTTATGTGGCTATTATTTTACTCTGACCTTTACTAAAATTATTTTTTTTACATAAGGTAAGATGAGATAACCTTTATTGTCATTTTTTTTTTACTATGGGCACAACGGTACACATCAAAAATGAAATTTAATTGCCCGCTCTCAAAGTGAACATATACATGACACACACCTAGCATACTATATACAGCATATGTATAGACCCACACCCCTACATATACATAACAAATAAATATTAAACACTGTCCATCTTGAAAATATAACAGAAGGAGGAAGCTTATTGTCTAACTTGTTTTTTTTTTAAAGAAAGAGCTGTATAGGCTAGACTGGATGAATGGTTATCATAATCTGAAAATTTTATGCAAGGCCCATCTAATTCAATATTCTGTAGCACACAGTAACCAATTGAATACATTAGGAAACACATAGATTTGGACTCTAAAAGATAATCTCCTTCCATAATCACTTTTGAGTAATCAACATTTAAGGCAAGAAAATAGTAAACAAACATCAATATTAGTAGCCACAGTATATTAATTCTCCATGAATCTTTTCATACCTTTTTAAAAATATCCAAATTGGCTACCATTATTATAGTTGCTAGCAGCAAATTCTAATTTAACTATGTACTGTTTGAAAAAAAAAAAATCCTCTGTCAGTTCTGAATCTCCTTACATTTAGTTCCAACTAGACAATTGATGCCCCATTGTGTTGTCATTTCAGAGATATGTCTTACCTAAACAGAGAAGCAGAATGACCATACGTGGATAAAAAAGCAGTAGGAATGGGAGCAACTTCTGACTTCTTGCTGACTTCCTCATTGAGTTTCCTTCTGGGAAGCTGACAGGAAGCATGAGAAGCACCTCTCCCCTTCCTTCCTTCCCTCTCTTTTCTCTCTATCAGTCTGTCATTATCTCCCTCCCTCAAACTGCTGCTGGTTTCCCCATTTACTTAGTTTGTGGAAAGCTTCCAGGAAGAAAGTCAGTGGGGAATCCAGTAGAAAACTGCTGGATGGGGGAGGAAGAAGATGCACATAGGTGTAGGTCAGGAATGGTATGGTGTGTGTGCAAGAAATTCCATGTGGTTTGGGGAGAGCATGTGCATAGATGGTGTGCATCAAAAAGGGTGAGTGAGGGATCACATGAATATGTAAAAGATGCTGTGCGGGTCAAGTAAGGATGTGGGGGGATGCAGGTCAAGAATAATGCATGGAAGTCTTAGTGTTGTATGAGAGGTGCTGTGCCGTTGGGGATTGTGTGTGATGTGCGTGTGCCTGTGTGTGTTGAGAAGGGTGCCTGGGATTGCTTGAGAGTACACAAGAGACACCATGCAGGTCAAGTATGTGTATGGGGGAAGGCTTTAAGAGGGTATGCAAGAGGTGCTACATAAGTCGGGGGACACCTGAGAGGATGGCGTAGTTCATGGGAAAGAGCAAGGGGTTGACTTGAGCTTCAAACAGTTCACAGGCATTCCTTCCACCTTGTTCCCTCTCCCTTGCCTTTTCTACCAGGCAGATAAGTGGTTGCTGCTGGTAGGCGAGGGAGCGAGGGATTGTAAGACTGGCTGGAAAACTGTCATGGAATGTTAAAAATGAAGATCACGTGACCATGGCACCAGTAGCAGAATAGCAGCCAGTAGCACTGAAGCAGTAACAACTTTCATATCCTATGGAGCCATGACTCCTATATTTTGAACACATTTTGTAAGTTAGCCCATTTGAGATACCTTAGCTCAAAAATTGTTTTCCTATGATGCAGTGAAAAGTCATGACAAAAGTTTTAGTTGTATGCAGATGTCTACCTTCAGCTTTAAAAATTGTGATAAAGGGAGAAAAAAATGTTTCCATGTTAGCTGCACCATAAATCGTCAGTCTGTTATGGAGCTGTGGTGGCACCGTGGTTAAAATGCAGTATTGCAAGCTGACTCTGCTCACCTCCAGGAGTTTGATCCTGACCGGTTCAAGGTTGATTCAGCCCATCCATCCTTCTGTGGGCAGTAAAATGGAGACCTAGATTATTATTTTTCTTCACATTGGCTTTCATTGTGCTGTCTGTTGTGATTCCAAGCTGTCTTTCCTGACCCATCATTGTCTCTTCTGCTCCCATTCAAATATGGGAAATGTTGGGGGAAAGCATCTGGTCAGATTAGTACTAATTGTATAAACTGTTCATTATCACATAACATCTCAAATAGAAGTTATTCCTATAAATACTTGATGTTTGATAAATCAGAATGAATGGACTTACAATACATTTTACCACATAAATATTGTATTGACAATAAATAAACCAGCTGGAGATTTAATTTGAAAAAATAAGCTATAAGTTGATTTCAGATTTGCTTTTCTTTTTATGCTATATTTTCTTTTTATCACAGTTGCAGTTTCCCTCTTACTTGTCCGTGTAAACCTGTTTCTTCTCTTAATAAAATTGGATATCTATTGGGTATTAAGAAATACTAAATTACTACAAAAGAACAATATTTTTGAACAAATATTTTCCTCTAAATTTCTGTGCTATTAATATGAAATACTGAATACTTCATTTCTTGTCTGGCTTCCTTCCAATAGTCAGAACTTGTAGAAGAAAGAAATTTTGTAAAAGCTCATCGTCGGCAGGTAGAAAAAATGAAAATCGAATGTGATAAGCTAACATCGGAGCTAACCCACAAGGAAGAAGAAAATTTAAAAATTAAGCGAAAATGCAACATAATAAAACAGGAATTAGATGAAAAGGTAAAAGAAAAATATGAACCTGTGTAATAGAATAGTATTTGTTCAAAAGGAAAATCACATTTATGACTTAAGAAACATTTATTTTTTAATGATGTAAATTTCTTTCTTTCTTTGTACTTTTTCAGTCTTTTTATTTTACTCTTCCATTTTCTCCAAATGCAAAATGGAAACATGGCACAAAGAAAGTCTTCTTATATTTGATATTTATTTATCTAGTTGTATACTGCTGCATAATAAAGTTGGTGATAACATACTATTAAATGAAACACTGTGATAATGTAGTTCTGAGTATTGATCCACAGTTGAGATCCTACAGTTGAGAAAATTGCTTATGAAAATCTGCCCACAAGCTTCAAGTATGCTGCATACTAAATTCCAAACTTGTGCTCTGCCAAATCAAGTACACATTGATAAGAACAAAATATTTTTTTCTAAAAATGAAATATTATTAGGAATAATTTGAGTTTATAAATAGACATTCCCTGAATTGCTAGCAGCATTTTAATGTGCAAAAATTATCTGATATGCTATTGTTTATTATTATATTTATATCCCAATCCTATTTTTTATAACTTAAGGTAACAAATACAATGCTCCTACCACCCATTTTCCCCACAACAACATTCCTTTGGGATAAGTTGGGCTGATACAGAGGGAAGACTGGAATTCATGATTTCCTGGATTCTATCCTAGATCTTAACCACTGTACTAAACTGGCTATCAAACTACAGCCAATGTGGGACTTGAACCCCACAACCTTGTGATTGTGTGCCATGCTCTATTGAGTGAGCTAGTGGGTTTTTTTGTTTTTGTTTTTGAAATCAGATTATTTATTTCTAACTGTTATTGTTAAATTACATTTTGTCATCACTGCACGTAGCATACTGTTATGGGAGTTGAAAGGATAGAAATGTAAACTGTCTTGAGTTGCAAGAGGTAGATTAGTATAAACATGTAATTTATGAATTTTAAAAAAAATCAAAAGTGATTCCATCAGACCTATAGAAAAAGAAATAAATGCCATCAATTACTGATTAATAATTTAGTCTAGAAAATAAATGATCTGCTTTAGATCAGTGCATTTGAATTTTCATAGCTATAAAGGATTTAACATCTGTCAATGTTCCTAACTTGTTTTGAAAGTATTAATTTCTCCTGCTAAATAAACTGAAATGTTTTTAATAGTACCAGTAACATAGTTCTAATGGTTTTACGTGAGCTGCTTGATTTAAAAAAATTCAATAATTCCAAATTAGTTTTTTTAAGTTGTACTTTTAAAGTTCTTGTTAATAATTGAGATGAATAATCTTTTCTAATTTTTTCACTATTTGTTTAGAACATTTTCAATTCAACAATTTAATATATATTTTTCAAGAGAGAGAGGGAGGGAGGGAGGGAGGGAGAGAGAGAGAGAGAGGGAGAGAGAGAGAGGGGGGGGGTTTCCTGCCAGTGTGCATAGTTAATATATTTGAATGATAATTGCACTAGTGTGAATTTAGGTAGGGTATGGGTAGGTAAGGCAGAGAAAGGCTATATACCAATTTTTCTATTAAGAAGAGGCAATGTTTTACATTTGTGTGCGAGAATATGTATGTACGTTGACAAATGTGTCAACATTTTCTTTAGACTGAAGAAGCTACTTGGATAAGTAGCAAAACATTTTGAACTGACAAAGAAAGTTCAGTTGTCACCTGTCCATAGTCAGATATAAAAATGGCCTAATTACATTATGAAAAATATTGATCTACTCCAATGCCCTTAACCTCACTGCTAAACAAATAATGGAAAAAAAAAGTTTATTTGGTTTGCTTTTGTCTAGTTCCACTGCATAACAACATTTTCCTTTCCAGGATTTTGTTTCCCATTAGAGCTTCCTTTGTAATCTACAAGTTTGGATAGTTTCTCTGTCGTTCATTGGCATATTCTTCAGGGTTTTTTTAACCTTCTGAGTTGTTTTCTTTTAGTATGTTTTTAATGTTTTCCAAGAGAGCTCAACTTACAAGACTGAACATCTTTGTTCTACACTAGCCTTTTATAGTTTTAATTCTTCTGGTCTCTCTTTGAAATTCTTTATTTTTTTATTTTATTTTTTTTCTTCTTATATAAATTACAATTTTAAAGTTTATGCTTATGCAATTATTATTATATATATTATTTTGTAATTTTTAATCCAATTATTAACTATTTTATAAATTGTAAATCTTATTTTTTAAAAAATTTAAAAATAATCCTATATCCTGTTCTTTGAAGTCGGGGGGGGGTGGGGTGGGTAGGGAGGGGGGGGGTGGATTTCCATGTTGTAAAACTTTTGAAAAATTTCAATAAAAAAAAAAAAAAAAAAAAAAAAAACAAAAGTACTAGTGCATTCCAGCAATTTCCAAAGGCTGTTCAGGCCAAGCTGTGTTTGGATTTGCACTTTCTGATGACAGGTTTTCTAATGACTCTTCTTCCTGCATGGATATAATTAAAAAGAGAATAAGAGAGCACAGAGTCTACTTTTACCAAATCAAAATATTTCCCTGGGTAAAACAGACCCCTGATTGGATTCTTACTATTGTGTTCTTTGGATCAGAGCAGAGCAGCTGCTCAAAGCTAACTCTTTATAATGTCAAAAGAAAAAAATGAGAAAATAAGAAAATGTCAAACAAGGATTCATTTTTGAAAACTTGATCAGAGGACTGCATTCTGGTTTTCATTTCCTTGGGAGCTTTTTTGTGAGTTATTTATTAAATATGTTTTCTTTGTATCCCTAGGAGGTAGTGAGAAAGCGGGGAGGGGGGAGGGAAATGAATCTTTGACCTAATCTAAAACTATGTAAATGAACATCTTTGGAGTTTATCCTCCTACTTCCCATCCCATCATGGTCTTCTTTTATAAAATAAAGGCAATGCACAAGCAAAATCATTGCATACTGTTATATGATGAACATTAAATAGTTCACAGTGATCTTTTTTCTCTTGTAATTCTAGAGGACAGTTATCCTTAATATGGGCAGATTTCAGTGTTACAAAATGAAGTGTTCATGTGATGATCCCCAATGTATGTAGAGAATTTCAATAGGAGCAATGATCTACATTTTCTTGGATTTCATGGTATTCTCTGAGCTTTGTTGTTTGCAAATTACCATGTGTCAGTGGGCAACTATATAAATTTATTTCATAAATAAATTTTATTGCTTAACTAGGTATCATTAACCAATTAGGATGTTACTTTGTTGGGTAATGAAATGTCTGCAAGCAAACAAACCCCAAGGGCATCAAGAACTTCACAGTTCAATCCTGAACTGTATATATTCTCTGTTATTTATTGTCTTTTTCTGCATTTGTTGTGAAATGTGTTGAGATTATCAACAATTGCTTATTACATATAACTTCAACTTATTTATACTCAATCCATCAGAAAATTGTTAAACCAGCCACAGACAGATATGCTACCATCAAAATTGCATTTCCTTCTAGAACATATTTCACATGTTATATGTATGTATGTATGTTTTTTAATCCCATAATTTGCAAAATTTTGTGAGAAGTTTAATCCAAGCAATGGTGTAAGCTGATAAAATTTAAAATTTAGGAAAAAGGTTGTCTTGACACTCAAATAACTGAAAATATATTTGGAATGGATGAAAAAAATACATTTCCCAGAAAGTGTGGGCATTCATATTGTATGTCTAATTGTATAGATAATTCTTTTATTAAGATTTCTGATTATAATAGTGAAATATAATACAAATTAAATTTTAAAAAGAGAATAAAAAGTGCAAGGAAAAAGAAAGAAAAAGAGAGAAAAGTAAGAATATAATAAAGAAATAAAGAAAAAGTAATATATAAAGAAGGGACCTGCAATCTTTATGACAAACACAAACTCTTTACAACAGGACAAATGGTTTTCCTACTGTAAAGACCCATTAGCTGTTAAAGCTATTAAGTCTTGAAAATCTCACATTTCTTTAAATTTATAACAGTATTGGTGAGTCTCAATTTTTTAAAATTAGTACTTGAAAATATAGTAATTATTCAGCAGATAGAATTGAATTCTTTATTGGCCATGTGTGATTGGACACAAGGAATTTGTCTCCAATGCATAGCTCTCAGTGTATATACAAGCAATAAGTGATAAATCATGATCATAGTCATCGTAAAAATACATTAATCATAAATCATAAGATACAACACTTAATGATAGTCATAGGATACTAAAATAAGCAATCAACATAAATCATACTAGGATACTAAATAAAACAATATAAATTGTAAGGTACAAGCAACAAAGTTATAGTCATAAGTATATTAAGAGATAGGTTATAGGAAAGATGAGAAGAATAATAGTAATACAGCCTTACTAGATAGTTTGACAGTGTTGTGGGAGTTAGTTGTTTAGCAGAGTGATGGCATGTGGGAAAAATTGTTCTTGTGTCTAGCTGTTTTGGTGTGCAATGCCCTATAGTGTCATTTTGAAGCTGAAGTTGAACAAGTTTATGTCCAGGATGTGAGAAATCTAGATATTTTCACAGCCTTCTTTCTGGCTAGTGCAGTATACAGGTCCTCAGTGGAAGGCAGGTTGATAGCAGTTGTTTTTTCTGTAGTTCTAATTATCCACTGGTTGCAGTACCAAACCAGACAGTTATAGAGGTGCAGATGACAGATTCAATAATTCCTCTGTAGAACTGTATCAGCAGTCTGAGCTTTCTGAGTTGGTGCAAGAATAACATTCTTTGTTGTGATTTTTTGATGATGTTTTTGATGTTAGGTGTCCATTTTAAATCTTGAGATATTATAAAATCTAGAAACTTGAAAGTCTCTACTGTTGATACTGTGTTGTCTAGTATAGTAAGAGTTGGTAGTATAGGAGGGTTTTTCCTAAAATCTATTATCATTTCTACAGTTCTGAGTGTGCTTAGTTCAAAATTGTTCCAGCTGCACCACAAGGCTAGTGTCATGGTTCTGACAGATGAAACCCTTCAAAAGAACTTTGAGTCATTATTTACCTGAAAGAATCTT